TGGGGTGTGGTCGGGAGGAGCTCCGCCTCGCCGAGCTTCACAAGTCTTGCGCTGGTTGGTGGAGCCGCGCCACTCACCCGCAGGCTATTTGCATAGTTTAAAGTGGCAGGAGGTGCAGGCATTTATTGAGGGAGCGGCATTTATTGAGTGCCTACAGTGTGCTTGGCTCACTGAGGAACCTCTCCAAGGCTGTGAGCGAGGTAATATTCAATACGGAGCCTCATTTTACAAACAAAGGCACTGAGAGCGCTTGGAGTTGCTTTGGAGGTCACAAGGCAACTCTAGTCCATCCATTCACACTAGGCGTCATGAACTTACTCAGGCTGTTGTGGTGACCGAATCCAGCGCCACGCAAGAGCTACATATTCCAAGTGTCCTTTTTCTGCCCAGGGAGCCTGTGTGACATTCAGTTCTCGAGTCACCTTCAGGTTCTGGGGGTTGAGAATGGTCACAAAGGCCTTAGACATTTTAAATGCGCGCGTGTGTACATGTGTGTATGTGTGTGTGATACTGTGTGTGTGATTGTGTATGTCTGTGTGATTGTGTGTGTGAATGTGTGTGCATGTGTGTGTATGTCTGTGTGTGAGTGTATGTGTGATTGTGTGTGTGTATGTCTGTGTGTGTGATTGTTATGTGTGTATGTCTGTGTGTGATTATGTGTGTATGTGCATGTGTGTGTATATCTATGTATGTGATTGTGTGTGTATGTCTGTGTGTGATTGTGTGTGTGTGTGATTGTGTGTGTATGTCTGTGTGTGTGATTGTGTGTGTGTGATTGTGTATGTCTGTGTGTGATTGTGTGTGTGTGTGTGATTGTGTGTGTGTGTGTGTGTGATTGTGTATACCATTTATGCACACCTCTCAATGGGTGACCATGATGATTAGATTTTTATCAAACCTGGGAAGTAACCTCAGTGACCTCACAGAAAACGCCTCCCCCAGGCTGCGGACCTGTCTGCCGGACAACCCAGCTCCACCCCTGGGCTGCGGAAAGAGCAAACCGAGAAGCCCTAAGAGCAGAGCAGTAAGGCGCGCTCCCCACGGCCCCGTTCGGTTCCTGCCTGACGTCCTGCCCTGGCTGCCCTTCATGACAGACTGGCATGCGGCCCCGCATTGCTTTACAGCAAGGTGTTCACAGTTAGCAACGGAGCCAGCCCTAAGCCTGAGTCAGATCGAATGGTTAGGGGTTTAGATCCAGAATGTTCTTCCAAAGGGTACAGTATGCAGCAGTGTAAAAGAGCCAGCCGACCACAGTAGTACTTCCCGCCGGGATCTCAGCGATGCAGAGGCTCGCCTGGGCTCCCAAGTTGAAAACAGAGGATTTGGCCACCACCAGTAAGTCCACCAACAACTCCCAGTTTAAGGGACTAGGAGGTAACTGACACATTAGGAGGTGGGGCTTTAGTTGCAGGGAGGGGTCACCCAGCTCCCCTTTCTAGCCTCTGAGAAGTGGGCAGCTTTGCTCTGCCGTGACAAGGTCTGGCAAACTGTGACCAAGACGCCAGGGTGGTTGCTCTTGCAGGACCTCCCAGAACCGCACGGTCTTTCTTTCTTTCTTTTCTTATTTACGGTTTTTCCTTCCTTCTGTTTTGGGGGTAAAATGGGATTAGGGGGTGTCTGCGAACACTCAGCTGTTGTTCTACACTGAGCCACGCCCCACCCGCCATCTCCCCTCGGATTGGTCCTTTTCTTGCCGTTCGGAGCTCTTCCCGCTCCGAAGCCGCCTGGCTTTCCCCCCGGGGAAGGTACCGGGCGTGGGCTCCGCCCTTTGCTCCCTGACCGCATTCACACCCGCGACTCCCATTGCAAACCTGGACCAGGGGCGAGCGAGGGGCGGGGAAGGGAGGCTGGGACCTGCGGCTAAGACCTGGGGAGGAGACGCTGCAGCCTCGGGAACGCGCACGGTGGGAAGGCACAGCCCAAACCAACCGCGCGAGTCCCCGGAAGCCCCGCCTCCGCCCGCGTGCACACGCATGCACGCACACACAGGATCGCTTGCTGAGTCTGGGGACCAGCGAGTCCGGGCATCCTCCTGCCTCGGAACCACGTATTGAGATTACAGACCCTTCAAGAGCATCTTTTTACCAGGGTTCTGGGATTCGAACTCAGGTCCTCTTGCTTTTTTCTTTTTTTGGTTTTTCGAGACAGGGTTTCTCTGTATTGTTTTGGAGGCTGTCCTGGAACTTGCTCTGTAGACCAGGCTGGTTTCGAACTCACAGAGATCCGCCTGCCTCTGCCTCCCGAGGGCTGGGATTAAAGGCGTGCGCCACCACCGCCCGGCCCTTTTTTTTTTTTTTTTCCCATTTCAAACAATATCACCATGTAGCCCAGGCTGGCCTTAATGTAAACGTCCTCTTGCCTCAGCATCCTGGACAATGAAAGCACTTGGCCGGCCCCTGGCACACACTACTGGTCTCCTTCCTTCCTTTCGCGCTCCGCCCCAGGTCCAATTCCCTGGGGCTCTGAGCTGTGGGCCTGGCACCCCCTAGCGTCCACGGCCGGCTGGCTGCATGGTTGCTTTTAGTGTGCAATCAGCCATAATGGGAAGGGAGGGAGGGAAAGGAGTGAGCAGAAGGGGCTGGGTCATGACGGGCCTGCTGTGAGGGAGGATGGCCCCTGGAGATGGCCACCTAGCCCACCAGCCCGAACAAAACGCTGGCTGGACCCAGCCTCCTATCACAACCTTGGTGAACATCTGTGCCTGTACTGGGGGAGCTCAGTCAGCAGTGCCTATAGTTGGAACACTGGCCTGCATGCGCTCACAGGAAGCAGAATTTGGGCCCCGGGACCATTTGTGTGACACAAGCCTGTCACCCCAGCAGCTGGGAGGTGGAGGTGGAAGGATCATGAGTTTAAGGTTTATGTAGTGAGTTTGCCAGCTGGCCTGGTCAAGTGCTGAAAGCTCAGTCGGGAAGTTGAGGTGTTAAGTTCCCAGCGGTGCTAGACATGGGTTGTACTGACTGCTCTTCCGGTTCAGGACCCCTGACTGTGGGTTCTGCTGGCAAGGGGGAGATGAGTTGCTGGGAGGTGAACTCAAGGCCCCAGTGCTCCACAGCTGTAGCCTCCTGAGCACTGCTGCCTGATGGACCAGGAGGGTCTTGGACTCCCTGATGACTGCCAGCATCCTCTTCATCACATAGACAGGTGGTCAGCAGAGATGACCTTTGATCCCTGAGGGCCCATCCCTGGGGCTGACACAGCGACTGTTTCTGCTCCGTCATAGCTGGGACACCCATCACCACAGACTTCAGGCTGACTGAAGTACCTGTGAGCACGCATAGGGAATGAATGAGGCCCAGGGAAGACGCCACAGTAGGAAAGAAAAAAAACAAAAACAAAAACAAAAACAGGGCAGAAGAGAGTTCCAAGGCCAAGGGCGCTGGCTACCCTTGGAGAGAGCTGGGTCAACTCATCACTCCCCTTCCAGGATTCCAGTTCCAAAGGGCCTGATGACTTTCTGACCACTGTGGGCACTGCGAGTATGTGGTGCCCAGACAGACATGCAGGCAAACACTGGTACATACAAAATAAATCTGAAAGAATAAATTCTGAGACCTGAGACACCTGTCACTTTTAGCACTCAGGATGCTTAAAAGCAGATCTGCTGTTAAGTTCATGGCCGTGGATGAAAGTGCTGGCAACCAAGCCAGAAAGCCGGAGTTCAATCCCTGGACCCACTGGGTTGAGGGAGGAAAGCCATCCTTCCAAGTTTTTTTCTGACTGCAACACACATGCAAAATAATACAAAGTGACCCAGCCCAGAGTGCCATCTTGTGGGGCTGAGATGGTGGCTCCTGTGGCCAGTGAAGGCTGTGGAAGGTGGGCAGGGTGTATCTGCCTTGGAAGGACTCAGGCTGCAGGGGGAGCAGTAGGTCTTCATGGGGCTGTGGCCCTGGGCTCATTCCCGCAGTGCAGTCTTACTACATGTGACCCACCGTGCTGACTGCACCTGTGGAGGCCTTGTGGTGGCAGACAGACTTGCTTTTGGATTCCAAATGGCGTATGCCACCAGCTCTATCCCCTACCTAGCACCCATCCCCAGAGCCTTCATTACAAGCTGCCTGGCTGGTGACATAGCCTTGCCCACAGCTGCTTCAAACAGGTCTGGTCTGGAGATGCAAAGCCAGAATCAAGGTTCTACAGAGTTGGTGCCTGTCTCACTGCCTGTGACATGGGCGGCGCTGAGTACAGAGCCAAGGCATCCGGTGTCCCACCCCTGTCTTAGTCAGGGTTTCTATTGCTGTGAGGAAACACCAAGACCAAAGCAACTTGGGGAGGAAAGGGTTTATTTGGCTTACACTTCCATATCACTGTTCACAATCGAAGGCAGTCAGGGCAGCAACTCACACAGGGCAGGAACATGGAGCCAGGAGCTGATGTAGAGGCCATGGAGGGGAGCTGCTTACTGGCTTGCACACCCTGCTTTTTTATGAAACCTAGGACCACCAGCCAGGGGATGGCATAGCACACCACAGGCTGGGCCCTCCCGCAACGATCACTAATTAAGAAAATATACCTATAGCTTGATATAGACAATTTCTCAATTAAGGCTCCCAATTGTCTCCAAGTGTGGTGGCTACAGCCATTAAGAAGAGGGAACATAAGAAATTGCCCCCACCAAATTGGGCTGGGTGTGTAAGAGCACAGTGAGCAAGCCAGGGGGGAAACGAGTAAACAGCTCCCCTCCAAGGCCTCCAGGCTCCCTCCTGCCATGAGCAAACCCCTTTCTCCAGTTGTTTATGGCCAAGGTGTTTACATAGCACTAGAAACCTAACTAAGACATCAAGACCAAAATCTGACTCAACTGCTTTATTTGTTTTGGTTTTTGAAACAAGGATTCACTGTGGCTCAGCCCTGGCTGGCCTGGAACCTCCTGCCTCTGCAACCTGAGTGCTAGGATGGAGGGCTAGCCTGCCTTGTGCCCGGCACAAACAAGTAATGACAGCAACACTGCTCCATCTGTAGTGCTGGGGAGGAAGCTGGGGAGTCAGTCAGCTGCAGTGAGGAGCTGCTGTCCTCAGGGTGTGCTGTGGCCCGTGGCTAGAACTCCACTTTGCAGGCAGGGAAGGCCTCGTCCTGCATGGACACCATGCTGCCACTGCCCAGAACCCTGATGCCCAGCGCCTGGTGCTGCTCGTGCGTCTCCTCATACCACCTGTGCATCACCGCTGAGTCGAAGGTAGGGATCAGTGTGACCTGGGGATGGAACAGGCAGACAGGTGACACTCCCCCGATAACCCCAGCCCCGCCTGCAGCACACAAGGACCTTCTTTGTAACCAGGTATTGCCACACAGCCCAGGCTGGCCAGCTGGCCGGCCACTTCCCACCCACCTCCCAGAGCTCCCACAAGCCACTGTGACGGGGCAGTGCTGTTGCCAGGCTAGTAGCTCCATATACCCCTTGGGCTGCAGCCTCCTCTGCGCTGGGCAGCTCTGCCATGGGGCCTTTGTCCCCACTGTTTTCAAGGCTGACATTGCACACGCAAGGCTGCCTGGCTATCTGCTCAGTATGAGTTATGCCTCCCAACCAGAGTCCCTCATCTCCAACTCATGGGCTGGGATCCTGAGGCTGAGCAGGAAGGGCCTCTCAAAAGCAGGAGTCCTAGGGTCCCTGAAGGGGTCCACCCACCTGCAGGTCAAGGTCCCACTGCTGCTTGCCAGCCAGCAGTGCATCCAACACGGCCCGCAGGCCCTCTTCCTGGCGCTGGCCCTGCCCACTGATGACATAGCAGAGTGCACGTACTCGAAGGAAAAAGTCCGGGTCCAGGTGGCCCGCGCCACCCCCAGGCAGGTAAGCCAGGTCCAGGTAGACAGGGGAGCCAGCCCCAGGTGGCACTGGGCGGCCACTGAGCCCTGTGGATAATACACAGGTTGGTGGTGGCATCAAGGCATCTATGTGACAGATGGCTATTACCCCCCACCAAGGGACAGACACCCCAGATTCCTGTACCCTGTATTCACAAGGGCCAGTGTCAGGCACACTTCCTGGGCCATAGAGATGTGTACTCAGGGAGCAAGCTCAGCCCACAGACTGTTAGACCCTGGGTGTGTGGAACTAAGAGGGCTCCCAAAACTGGTCATGTGGCAAGTTCTTCAGACTCAAAGCTCTGTCCCCACTTCCAGGTGACAGGGAGCCAGGGTAGCAGGAAATACAGGCCAGAGGACCCCAGGACAAAAAGCAGGCACACACACACACACACACACACACACACACACACACACACACACACGGCTCAATGCTGGGGGAAGACGACAACAGCAAGTGGAGACAGCCCCAGCCCTGCTTGGCATTGGCACAGCCAGTGAAGGCTGTGACTCAGGGCAGGCTACCTGCGGGGGATGCTGGGGATCCAGCATGGGACTGAGGTCGGCAGAGCGCCCGCAGGGCCCTTCTGAGCCCTAGCTGCACTGGGTACTTGTGAGGGAGGCATGAGAACCTACAAATGTCATCCCTACCTGGCTCTGGCATGAACAGGGCTGGTGCTATGGTTAGCTATACAGTCCCTCTGGAGTGTGGGCCTGTCTCTAGCAGGGTCACAGGTGGGCGTGATGGGAAGCATGTCACTAGGTGCCAACCTGGGTAGACAGAGCTACCAAGTCCCCCTGGTTACTTAATCTCTTTCCTGTAAGCACCTGTCAGTGAGGTGAGTTCTGTCATCTGTAAATGTGCCAAACCTAGACACTGGGCCAAAGCACTCATCAGCTGCAGCAATCCCTAAGGCCAGAGCCCTGCTGGGGACAGGCCCAGAGAGCAGCCTCAGTGCCACCTGGCCTGGAGATGAGCAGACAGCCACTTCCTACTTTCAGGGCAGGCCTCAAGGCCCAGAAGGTGTTGACCTTGGAACCCAGGTGCAAAGCCAAGCCCAGGAGCTCACCTATCAAATCAGCATTCATGAGACTGAGGCAGGAGTATCACTTAAGGGCCAGTCTGGGCTATAGTCTGTTTCTGAGATAGGGTCTTTCTGGATACACAGCCCAGGCTGGCCTCAAAGTCACAGAGATCTGCCTGTCTCTGCCTCCCAAGTACTGGGATTAAGGCTGTGCTACCACGCCTGACAAAACCCTCTCAAAACACCGAAAAAGCTAAACATGACCGACACCCTGGCCTCTGCCTCTGCAGGCAGAAGGCCCCAGAATAAAGCCGTCTCAAAACACAGACAAGACTATACGACAAGCAGAAAAGCCCGTGCCAGCCCAGCACGGCTGAACTTCCTAGAAAGCAACACTCAGAAGTCCTCTCTGGAGGATCTAAAAGGTGGGAGCAGGAGAACTCAGCTGGCACTGGGGCCACGGGTCAGCCCCTGAACAGGAGTGAGGAGGCCCAGAAAGACTAGAGTGGCTGGAACAACAGTAGAAAGGGGGAATGGGACTCACCAGAGGAGGTCCTCGTGGCAGGAGACACTTTTGAGACAGTCTTGGGGACTGAGGGCTTCCTGGTGAGGGGCACACGGCCTGGCTTGTCTGCAGGCTCACTGCGGGCACTTAGTGGCCGGACTCGGTCCCCTGCAGGGCCCTTGGTCTTGGCAGCTACAGATGCAGCTCTGGGGGCAGCGGAGGCGGAGCTCGGCCTTGCAGGGGCCTTGCGGCTGCGACCAGGATTGGTGGGGTTGGGCGGCTGCCTGGCTCGGGGCAGCAGGGCCTCGGGGTCCACCATGCAGATGCCGGGGGCATCGGGCAGCGGTGGTGGTACACGGGGTGTGGGCAGCGGGTCCCTGGCTGCACTCTCACTACCCACATCGTCGTCGGAGTCTGCAACCGGCACAGGATCAGAGTCAGACAACGTGGGCAGTGACTCACTCACTGACGTAGGCGGCGTCTCCGGTGGCCGCTCCTGCGAACGAGCGCTGCTGTCCGAGCTGCCCGGAGATGCAGGAGGGGGCGGCTTGCGGTGCGCAAACTCACAAGGGGACACCAGGCATAGGTCCACATCATGTGGGGATGTGGAGCGGCGAGCAAGGCGCAGGGGAAGGCTAAGCCCCGAGTCACCTGCTGGCAGAACCTGCTCAAAGGACACGGACAGCGACTCATCTACCTCAGTGGAGTGCGGTGAGCCCAGCTCCGCAGGCAACGAGGGTGTGGTCAGAGTGGGTGTCGTGGCTGTGGGTGTAGTGGCTGAGGGTGACGCATCCAGGGCAGGTTCTGGGCGTAGCGGGCTGAGTGACAGGTGCTCAGGGCTATTGCCAGGTGCGGTAGGTGGTGGGGACCGAGCTGGAGACAGGGTTGGGGACGGGGCAGGTGGCCGCTGGGGCTCCAGACTGCTCCCTGCTTCTGCGGGGCACTGCGGCACATGAGCCATAGGTGGCCCTGAGGGAACCGGGGCTCGGGGACCATTCTGTGACGTGCGAGGTTTCGTGTTGGCGACACCTGGCCCGGAGCGGCGCATGTCTCGGACTGTAGGCCGTGTGGGCCCAGGTTTTGCATCCTTCTTCAGGTCACGCGTGGGCGGAGCTGGCTCTCTCCGCACTGTGCTTCTGCTGGCGGAGCTGCTGATGGTGCTGCGGACAGGTTCTTTACGCGAGCTGTCCCGCGAGGCCAAGCTGTCCTGGCTGTCAGCCCTCGCAGGAGCATCCAAGTCACCTGTGGTGACCACTGGCCGGCGCAGACACGGCAGATGCTGCAGGCGCTGCAGCCCGTCCAGCAGGCGTGTGGGCGGCGTGCGTCCAGGGAACAGCACTCGAACCACCTTGTCACTGGGCGATGCAGGCTGCCACACCAGCAGTGCGCAGGCCGGTGCCGCAGGGTCCCCAGGTGGCGGGTGCAGCACGAAGAGCTCAAGGCGGCCAACACCCAGCTTCTCAAAGAGGACAGTGGGGCGTGTGGGCTGCGGGCCACGCTGCAGGGGCAGGGGTGCAATGCCCAGGCTGCGCAGCAGGCCCCGCGCGCACACTGCCTCATCCTCACCCCCGCGCAGCCGAGATGTTGCCTCTCGAGCATTGAGGAATACGACACCCAGGGCAGGGGACAGAAGGCGGCGCAGCCTCTCCTCGCATTGTCCCTGTGGCCCTGCAGCAGCCTCACGTTCTGCCAGCTTGCGGCGCAGCAGGCTATTGAGGCCAGGCAGGCTGTCTGCGCCTGCGTGGGTCACTAGCACTGCGTCCACGCGGTCCAGGTGGCGCACCAGCTTCCAGAAGCTCGACTTGGGGTTGGAACCGCCATTCACCAGCACAGTGAAGCCATTGACTGCGAAGAAGGCGGCGTCGCCCAGGCCACCAGGGAACACATAGCAGCAGGGCCGCGCCAGGCGCAGGAAGCCCCCTGCGGCCGGCGGCTCCAGCAGCTCGAAGGGCGATGGCGGCTCCAGCGACTCAGCCACATACTCCAGAAAGGCGCGCAGGCCCTCGGAGGCTGGCAGCCGCGCGGGTGGGTTCAGGCGCAGCCGCAGGCCAGGCGTGGGGCCCAGCAGCATCCAGTCCCCAAAGGTCGGACAGGACAGGGTGAGGGCCGGTGGGGCAATGGGTGCCGAGGCCAGAGCATCCTGGACCTGTAGGACCAGCACAGGGCCACCTGGATCCAAGGACTTGGGCACCACTCCTCCTAATCGCCAACCTGCCACTACGATCCCCAGGCCCTCCTGGCCCATGGCCCCATTCTTTGTACCTTCCCTCTCACAGCACTGTCTGGGTGAGCAGTTTGGGGGCCCTTTTCCCCACCCCAGAGCAGTGCGAAGGGGAAGAGCTCACCTCTTTGTCCCCCAGCACCTGCAGGAAGTGCTGCGCTGAGAACCCCCCGGTCTGCAGCAGCAGCTCCCCAGTCTCCTCCAGGCAGGGTCCTGCCAGCACCAGCACTTTATGAGGGGCAGGGTCCATCAGGAGGTTCCGGAGCTGTGGGAGGAACTGAGAGGCTGCAGGGGAAGCAGAGCCTGGCCCACTGTGGGCACAACAGTCCCTTCCCTGCAGCCCCCCTTCCTGCACCAGCTGACATCACCTGCCTAGCAGTACTCTGGCTACTCTAGCAGGAGACTGCTTCAGGCAGACACACCTAGCTTTTTTTTTTTTTTTTTTTTTTTTTAAGGCAAGATTCTCTATGAAAGCACAGGTTACCCATCACCTCTTAATCCTGCTTCTGTGGGAAAAGTGAGGCCTGCAGCAGCATCCCCAAAAAACACAGAACAAAACAAACGTTGAAAGGATCAACTGTGGCCAGCAGGGAGAACCCCAGAGCAGTCTGACGTCTGCTGATGTATATAACAAGTGCAGACTGACTAGCCAAAGCCAAGGCTCCTAGGCACCAGGGAGAGCTCCCAGGTCAGCCTGCTGGGTGTACCCTGTGGCTCCTGCCTTCCTGTCCCACCCCCACTAGAGACAGGAAGTTGAGGCAGGAAGGATCAAGCACATCTTCTGGGGCGTGTGTGAGGACAGGACAACACACATCCCAGGTCACCGGCTCCTACCTCATCGCACAGGGATTTGTCTGAAGGGTTCAGCAGGACCAGCGTCTCCAGGGTCTCTCCACGGTGGTGCAGGCTCCGCTGACCTGAGGGATGACAGGTTCAGGATGACAGAGAGTCAGGGGCCTGATAGCAAATCCTGCCACCACCAAGGGACCCTCAAGCATGCAAGCCCAGAACTCACACCAGGGTGCTACATCCTGTAAGCAAAGATGAGGGCAAATGGGAAGCGAGGGGTGCCTGGGCCTCAAGTAGAGACAACCAAGATAGCAGCACTGGTGCCAGGATGGCCACCCTCGCACAAGCTCCAGCTCAGCACTTAAGCCAGGAGGTGCCAGGAGGCTCCCAAGGGCAAACAGCAACTTCAGTCCCACCCCTGTGAGGCTGCTTGTAGAGCTCCAGCAGACTCAGCTGGAGCTATGTCACTACCCAGAGGGCCTTATCAGAGGGGCTGTGGTACACAGGAGGTCACACAGCATATGGCATTTCCAGCTCTTTCTCCAGGGATCAGGAAGCCACAGTGACTCAAAGGGACAATTAGATGGTCACTTCCTTCCCCTCCAGCAGCTGCAGGTGATGACTCAATCCACTGGCCAGGAGATGAGCTACAAGAAATACCCACAAAGCAGCCACCGGCTGCTCTGGCCACCCTGGGATCCCCTGGGGAGCTTTTCCTGTACCCCATCTCTGCTTCCCTATTGACTGAGACCACCCTGTAGGTTCTCCCCAAGGGCCCCTCCCTAGAGTCCTCCCTGTATCCTTTTCATGCATAGGCCCTGCTCTTCCTGACCCAAAGCTGAGGCAGCATGTCCAGGTTAGGGGTAGCAGGGGCCTTTGGTGGTGCCCCAAGCCATGCCCAGCATACAGCTGTCACTCAGCAGCTTGGCATCCAGTGAATGAGCAGTAGGGATCCTGGGACAGGTCACCTTTCACAATGCTGGAGAAGGTGGCCGAGTGCCGGGACACAAAAGCCTTGAGCTGCTCATCCAGGCTGCAGATGGTGGGGTCCACATCCTCCCATGAGCGAAGACCTGCAGGCAGCAGGAGACAGACCTCAGCTCCAGCACCCTCCTGTCTGGCTGTCCTGGCCCCACAGCTTGGTTCCTGGGCAGGCAGACCCAAGGGACTCAGGCAGGCCTCAGCCTTTCACTGACTGGAAGCCTGGCTGGCCATCTGTCCTAGGTCTCCTGCTTTCCTGCCAGGATCCTGAACTTAGAGGGAGGGAGGGAGGGAGAGAGGGAGGGAGAGAGAGAGAGAGAGAGAAGAGAGAGAGAGAGAGAGAGAGAGAGAGAGAGAAAGTGTGTGTGTGTGATCCTCACCTTCTGCATCTTATGTCTGGGACAGTGTCCCTCACTGAATCTTCAGGTCATCACCTGGTGAGGCAGTGAGCAGCCTCTCCGGAGCTGGGATTACAGGTACATACTGCCAAGCCCAGCTTTGATGGGAGTCTCAGCTTCTGAGCACCTTGTTCCTCAGCCATCTCAGCCACTGGGGCAGCTGACTCAGACTCCCAGTGCTGTGAGCTCCCCTGGGCTGTGATACCTCTCTTCAGACTCTAAGACAGGTTCCTCTAAGCCAATGGTTCTCAACCTTCCTGATGCTGTCACCCTTTTTGTGGTGACCCCAACCATAAAATTATTTGTTGCTACTTCACAACTGTAATTTTGGTAGTGTTATGATTTGTAAATACCTGATATGCAATCTCTGTGAAGGGGTCAATCGACTCCCCAAAGGTGTGGAGACCCACAAGTTGAGGGCTGACATAGGGGGTTGTAATCCAAGCCCTGCCTGTGTTGAGCTGTCACAGTCAGAGACAGTCTTCAGACCATGCATTCAGATGGGCATCCTATGTTCTTCTGGGGATTTGGGGTTTTGTTTTGGTTTTTTTTATTTGTTTTTGGTTTTTGAGACAGGGTTTCTCTGTGTAACCCTGGCTGTCCTGGGACTCACTCTGTAGACCAGGCTGCCCTGGAACTCACAGAGATCCACCTGCCTTTGCCTCCTGAGTGCTGGGATCAAAGGCGTGCACCACCAACGCCCCGCAGGGTTTGGTTTTTTGAGACAGTATTTCACATAGTCCAGGATGGGCGCAAATTCCCTAAGATGCCTCCAGCTGAGGACAAACCCCTTATCCTGCCTCCATCTCAGAATTTATGAGATGAGCAGCGAGGGACGCTGGGGATTAAGCTGGGTCTGCATCATGCCAAGCATCGCCCCTACCTACCGAACCTTCCTTGTTTTCAAGAAAGTTGTCTTGTGGCCCAGGCCATCCTGGAACTCGCTGCCCCGTTGCGAGCGGTGCTGCCCCTCCCGGCGCCCCGGTGTGACAGGTGCGCCTGAGTCAGCTCCCCGGTGCCAAGCGCCCCCAGGGCGGCCGCGCAATTGCTCCTCCTGCTCTGTCCCCACCAGGCATCTCTGAGCCTCGGGGATCAGTCCCCCTCAACAGGGCCTATGGAGCATAAAGGGGGAGCCCAGGCACAGAAAGAGCCGCAGGCGGGCGGCAGGCGGGCAGGCAGGCAGGCTCTGAGCGGCTTTGCTGGGCTTTCTTCTTCCTCCCTCTTTCTTTGTTAAGCTCCTTTTCAGCTGCACAGGCAGAGCCTGGGTGTTCCGAGCTGACAATAATTGCTGCGTCTAGACAGTGTCTGGTAGGAGGCCTCCTCTGTGCCTGCCGGCCTCCCCGAGGCTCCCAGGCCAGCCCGCCCCACCCCCCCCCCGCCCCCCCCCGCGGCGCGCCCCGACCCCCGCCCCCCCACACCCGCCGCCGCCGCCATCACCGCCGCCATCTTCGCGCTGCCCCGACGCCCGGGCGCCCCGCCCCCGTTTGGCCACGCCCCTTCGTGGGGCGTAGCGGAAGCGCCGGAGACCCCGGGCGGGGGCGCCCCCTCCTGCCCACCCATCAGCGCCCTGGAAGCCTCGGGAGCCGGTAGAGAGCTGAGACAGCACTGTTCTGAGGGGCTGATAACACCGCCAAAATTCCATCCATTCATTCACCCATTCGCCCAGTCGCCCATGCAGGGACACTCTTACAAGTTCTGTCCCGTAAAGTCAGCCTGTAACAGCGGCTCCACACAGAACCAGACTCTGATACGAACTAACAGCTCCCTAAATTAGGATCCCGACAGGTAGGGCTTGGAGGGGTGTGTAGGAGTTTGCTGTGTGAGTGTCTGCGTCTGGGTGTGGTGACACACGTTACAGTATGGGGAGGTATTTAAGTCAAGAGGACACTTCCTGTCATTTTAGGAGAAAGGACATTTTGGAGCTGTCAAATCAGCAGGCCTGTTAGTGTTAGCGCCCATTTGACTCCAACTAAGTCCGCCTCTCGGCCTTCATCGAACTAATGATCCTCCGGCCTCCACTCTTCCCACATGCTGGGACGGCAGGCAGTCAACACTACAAAAAGCTTTGGTTCCACTTGGACTATATATAGCCTGATGGGCACTGCTTGTGCCACTCCCATCCAAACCGGCTGGAACAGCCTCACTTCTATCTTTGATGGCCACCCCATGTTAACTGTTCAGACCGAGAGTGCCCGCTGGCCGCCCTCACGAGTGAGCCCGGCCTCTGGTGTATACTCAGGGGGCTGAGGCAGGGGGATCAGAAGTTCACAGTCAGCCTCAGTTACCTAGCAAATAGGAGGCCAGTCCCTGCATCAAAAAGAAACAGTAAAAAAAGGCAGACTCATCCCTTTAACCCCAGGACTCGGGAGGCAGAAGCAGGCGGATCTCTGTGAGTTCGAGGACAGCCTGGTCTACAGAGCGAGTGCCAGGACAGCCAAGGCTACACAGAGAATATTTCAAAACAAAAAAAAATAAGCAAAATGCAAATCAGGACAGACGTGAAAAGGACTAGGAAGCAGAGCCAAGCCACTGCTGATTTTCTGTCAGGGCCTGTCTACACCAACTTCCTCCTTGGTCAGTATGTAGCCGTGGCCTCATGATCCAGGGTTCCTGGATACCAATTTCCTGTCTTTTTGGCTCTGTATCCTTCCCAAGTCCTGACTCCTCCTGTGGCTGGTCAGCCTGAGAAGGCTGGGACCTGTATTTTCCTCTGTTATAATGGAAACAGACCTGGGTTTGGCGTTGCATCTGGTCACCCCAGACTCATCTCAGAAAACTGAACTAGAAGGATTGTGGAGAGTCTGAGGCCATGTCAGGCTATAGAGCAAGCCCAAGGACAGCCTGGGCTACATAGGGAGTTCAAAGTCAATCTGGAGTATAGAGTGAGTACCAGGGCAGCCTGTGGTAATCCTTTAAAACCAACATAAGAAATGGCTCAGCAGCTAAGAACTCTTGGATGCTCCTGCAGGAGACCCAAGTCATTCCCAGCACCCACACTGCAGCTCCCAACTGCCTGGAACTCCTGCTCCAAGGAATCTACAGACCCTTTCTGGCCTTCATGGGTGTGTGTGTGTGTGTGTGTGTGTGTGTGTGTGTGTGTACATACTAAGAAATCTTTAAAGCAAAACTAAGAGACAGGCATGTTGGCTCCCCTTTAATCCCCGCACATGGGGGGCAGAGGTAGGCAGATTTTGTGGTCAGCCTGCACTACATAGAAAACTTCAAGCCACTTAAGGCTACAGGGAGACCCCACCAAAAAAACCAGGGAGCTGGAGAACTGATGAAGACCAGCAGCCTCGTGCTCTCTGTTTCTGTCCTGTGCAAGGGACACTGAGTGAAGGTTTGCAGAATGGACCCAACAGCCTGTCTGCTTGTTCAGTCTTTTCCTCCGTCACCAGTCCTTTGGAATATGAACCCAGGAGCTGAAGTTTGCATTCTTCCAGACGCCTAAGGCCCCTCTGTTTTCCTTTTCCCCATCTGTCTCTCTGTATTCCACAGGGGCCTCAAACTGTCGGGTCTCCTGCCTCAGCCTCCAGGCTTTGGGCAAGGCAGGCCTGGGGCCTAGCACCTGCAGTTAGTGCTGATGTCATAATCTGGTCTCTGAGGGCCTGGAGTGGTTCCCCATTAAACTTTGCATGAGTGTTCTGTAAAACTCTCAAAATAAGTCTCGTGTCCTTGAGTTTTTCTGTCCCTGCAGTTCGGGGTCCAGGCGTGGGGAGTGCAAGGCTCTTCTCGAGAAGATGAATCACTGGTCAGTTCCAAATACTAGACTCGGAAGTCAGGCCACGTCGCTCTCCTCTGTCCACATCTAGATCCAGTCAGCTACTAGGTCAGCGGCCTCATACCCTGGGACGGGGTGGCGGGAGGGAAGCGAGTGATGAGGAAACGCAGTGAACCCTCGGGGCAGACATTGTGTCTGTAACACTCCCAAGTACTTCAATCAGACAACCCTCTCCACTGCTGGGGACACACAGGACCTCCACAGGATCCAGAGCCGCGTGTCAGCTTCTCACTGGGGGTTTCTAGGCAGCCACCCCTGAGCCACGCCCCCAGCCCCTCCCTGTGGGATCCCAGGCTGTCACTCTACCCCTGAGCCACGCCCCCAGCACCTCCTTAGAGGGTTTTAGGCTGTCACTCTATCCCTGAGCCACACCCCCAGCCCCTCCGCTCAGGATCCCAGGCTGTTACTCTACCCCTGGGCCACGCCCCCAGCCCCTCCTTAGAGGGTTTTAGGCTGTCACTCTACCCCCTGATGCACGCCCCCAGCCCCTCCCTGAAGGATCCGAGGCTGTCACTCTGCCCCTGAGCCATGCCCCAGCCCCTCCTTAGAGGGTTTTAGGCATACATAGACCAGGCTCCCCTGTAAGTTAAAATGTTCCCGCCTCCATCGGCTGGCAGATGTGGGACACCAAGCTCAACCCTGCTATCACTCTGACAGCGACCAGAGTCCCGCAACGCTCTAGAGTCCCACCGGCATCATGCCGCCCCTGCCGGTCTCTGGAGGAATTGCGGGCTGAGCCCAGGCCACGCCCCCTCAGTCTGCACCAGTCGGGAGCTGCGGGAACTCATGGCGTGGGCCTGACCTAGCTTCCTTCACAAGCAGCACCTTCAGTGTTTCAGGTTCAAGTCCATGGCTCCTGGGGCATCGTGTCCTCTCAGTTCCTGAGAGAGCGATGCACTCTCTCGGTCAGTGAGGCATTCAGGCTTTTTGTGTTTCTCTGTGTGTTCCCTTAGAAGTCAATGAAGCATTGGGCAGGACAGTTGGTCTTAGACATTAATCTTGTGTACCCTGTACAACTTGCAAACATCACTGTATCCTGGCAACTATAACTGTATTGACCCTGGCAATTGCCACTATATTCTGTTTCTGTTTTTGTTTTTGTTTTTCGAGACAGGGTTTCTCTGTGTAGCTTTGGAGCCTATCCTGACACTCGCTCTGGAGACCAGGCTGGCTTTGAACTCACAGAAATCCGCCTGCCTCTGCCTCCCGAGTGCTGGGATTAAAGGCGTGCACCACCACGGCTCAGCCTCTGTTTCTGATTAAAGTATAAAAGTCTGATTGTGGGGCTGGAGAGATGGCTCAGTGGTTAAGAGCACTGGCTGCTCTTCCAGGGGTCCTGAGTTCAATTCCCAGCACCCACATGGTGGCTCACAACCATCTATAAGATCTTGTGCCCTCTTCTGGCCTGCATGGATATATATGCAGCCAGAACAATGTATACATAATAAATAAATAAATCTTTAAAGAAAAAAAGTCTGATTGTGGGGCTGGGGATGTAGCTTAGTGGGAGAGCACTTGCCTAACAAGCACAAGGCCCTGGATTTGGTCCTCAGTTTGGGGGGGCAGGAGAAAAAGTTTGATTGTTCTCAATAAAATAGTCACTAGCTCAGTCTTGCCGTGGCCTCTTGGCCCCTCCAACCTGCTTGATTTAATTCCTCATGGTAGTCCCATAAGTAAATGTGGGCACTTACAGGGTGCCTCCCTCTTCCTAACAGGCCAGTCCAACCTGTGCCCTCAAGCTGCCCCTTCCAGCCTTCCTGAGTTGCTTCAGCTTTCCCACAGCCCAGTCAGGCCTTCTCCCCACGTCCCCTTCCCCTTGATTTCTGTTTCCCTCCCCAGCTTGACTGTAATGGTTGATTGATTGCTCCTCCTGCGTGCTTTTAGATCCAGCTAGTGTTAAGTGATTGAATTACATACCCATGGCCCTCAGGGCCAGAGAGAGTCTTAGCGGAGGAGCAGTAATGTGTCAACATCAGGGAGGGTACAGTGTGACCCATCAGTGAGGAAGGTCACCTTTGACAGCCGAGGTTTTTTTGTTTGTTTTGTTGGGGGGGGGGGCATATACAAGACAGGTTTTTTTCAGTGTAGAACCTGCAACTGTCCTTGAACTCACTCTGTAGCCCTGGCTGGCCTCAAACTGAACTAAAACATCCTCCTGCCTCTGCCTCCACCACCCGGCCAGGACTGAGTTTAAAAAGAAAATTGGGCACAGGTCACATCTATCACATCTGGGCAATTGGTGGTTGAGCTTTCAGGAGTCAGTACTCTCCTTTCAAAAGTGAGTCCTGGGGATTGAACACAGGTTGTCAGGCTTGGCAGCAAACACTTTTATCCACAGAGCCATCTTGCCAGACTGGTCACATGTACCTTTCTCAAGTTTAATTTATGTGTAAGGGTGTTTGGCCTACAAGTATGTATGTGCACCAAATGTGTGCCTGGTGCCCAAGTAGATCCCTGGAACTGTAGTCACAGACAGCTGTGAGCTGCCAAATAGGTGCTGGGAATTAAACCTGGGTCCTCTGGAAGAGCAGCCAGAGCTCCTAACCATTGAGGCATCTATCCAGCCCCTATTTAGGAATTTTTTGTAGGAGTGAACTTTGTGACATCTCAGAGTCTGTGATGTGTCTGACTTGCAGTCCTGCCATCTCAGTCTCTGGAGTGGCTGGGATGTCAAGTGTGGATGTCCAAACTGAGTAAATAGACTCTGTGTGTGTGTGTGTGTGTGTGCGCGCGCGAGCGCGTGTGTGTTATAAGCACACATGTGCATGTGACTATATATTTGTGACAGAACACAACTTTTAGAAGTAAGTTCCATCATTATGGGACCCAGTGGTCCAATTCAGGTCCCCAGACTTTGTGGCAAGTGCCTTTCCTTTGCCAACTGAGCCATCTTCCTGCCATCTTTTCTGGTTTCTTGCTTTTGGGTTTTTGCTGTTGTTGTTTTGTTTTGAGACTCTGTTTCATGTAGCTCAGGCTGACATTGAACTCCTGATCTCTGGCCTCAGCCTTTCTCATGTTGGGGTGACAGGTAAACCATGCCACACCCTTCTGCCCTTACCCATTACCTCTGTGAGCTTCACAGGGTAATACGGAGACCCAGAGAAGTTATGGAGAAGTTAAAGCCATGGGAGAAAAGCCAGGGGAGGCTGAGAGTGAAAAAAATGGAGTGCAAGGGGCCCAGGGCCAGCAGACCCACTAGCTGAGCAACTGGGAAAGCCTCACAAGGCCCCAGGGCTCAGAATTTGTTGGAGTCTAACTGATCAGTGGTAAATGTTGGTGAGCCCCGTGACCCCATGAGCACAGCCAGGCTTCATGGAAAGAAAACAAATGGTATATTCCCAGGAACAGCATTCATTGACATCTGGAGGGAGACAAACATGGTTTAAGAGAAGTGAGAAGTTTGGCAAAATGGTTCTCCCACCCTCCTGGGCATCAGGCACACAACTGGTGCACATACAAGCAAGCATTCTCATAAATAATGTTTAAACACCCTTCGTAAGCTGCAAGTGGTGGCACTCGCCTTTTTTGGTTTTTGTTTTTTGTTTTTTTTGGTTGTTTGTTTTGTTTTTTCTCCATTTTTTATTTGAATTAGAAACAAGATCGTTTTACATGTCAATCCCAATTCCCTCCCCTCCTCTACTGCCCCCCCACACCCCCCACTAACACCCTACCTATCCCATACCCTCTCTGCTCCCCAGGGAGGGTGAGGCCTTCCACAGGGGGCCTTCAGAGTCTGTCATATCCTTTGGGATAGGGCCTAGGCCCACCCCCATGTGTCTAGTCTCAGGGAGTATTCCTTTATGTGGGATGGGCTCCCAAAGTCCACACCTATGCTAGGGATAAGTACTGAACTACTACAGGAGGTCCCATAGATTTCCAAGGACTCCTCACTGAAACCCATGTTCCTGGGGTCTGGATCAGTCCCATGCTGGTTTCCCAGCGGTGCATGCCTTTTTAAACAAGAGCACTGGGATCTATTGCAGAGGCAGGTAGATCCCTGAGTTTGAGACCAGTCTGGTCTACAGAGTGAGACCTTTTCCCAAAATTGTAACCAATTAAAAGTGTCATTTGTGATGGGACATAGTGGCACATGCCTGCCATCTCAGCACTGGGAGGTTGAAGCTGGAGGCTCAGGAGTTCAGGGATATTGGTAGCTACATTGTGAAGTCAAGGGCAGCCTGCGCAAAAAAAAAAAAAAAAAAAAAAAAAAAAAAAAAAAGAGAAGAAGAAAAAAAAAAAAAAAAAAAAAAAAAAAAAAAAAAAAGTGTGTTGTCACAGAAACATAAGGTGGGCCAAGATTTTTCTAGCCTTATATTTAAAACCTATCAATAAAATTATCTTTCTGATAAATGTGGTGGTATATGTGTGTGCCCCCAGCACTTGAGAACACACGGTCCCAGTCCTTGGCCAGTGCATACACAGTGACTGTCTCTAACATTGACTGGAGACCTTGCCTTTATCCCCCACCCCATCTGCCTTGCCAGGAACTGTTAGATTACATCCTAAAGCTGTCCCCCCCCAAGGCCCATTGATTATGCCTGACTAAAAGTCCAAGGTCCAAATATCAAACAACTCTGAGTTCTAGCAATCAAAACTCACTCAATTTGGCTAACCTGTCCAGTTGGGATTTAGCAACTCACCCTAGCACAGATTTCCCTGTTTTCTCCTTAAGAACCCCATCTGCAGATAGCTGCTGCTGTCTTTGCCCCACCCAGAAGCAACCCAAGTGCCACCTGTCCCTCTGGGTAACATATCTCCTTAGTGCTGAGAATGTGGTCTCTGGGTGTGTCCTATGCAGACTCCAGACCCCTCACTCCCTCACTCCCAGGCCCCTTGACTCCCAGGCCCATTCACAGGGTCCTGGGCTCCATCCCCAGCCTAAGGCTTTAAAAGGCCTTTTGCAGGCAAGGGAATCCTGGGGACCACACAGTAAGCCTGAAGACATTTTGAGGGCAGAGACTGGAGTGAGGAGGGAGGGGACACTCTGCCTGGTGAGTAAGGGATCAAAGCGGTGTGACCTGAAGCCCCAGATTAACCAAGTGCACTGAGGAAGGACAGAGGTATAGTCAGAAGCCCAGCAATCCAGAACCCTAACAGCCTGCAGTGACAGAACCCTGCGAGGATTCTTCATAGCCCCCAAGCACGGAGCCCGATGGAGTGTCAAGGCTGGAGCCCATTGTTACTCAGGAGAGGATCCAGCTGTGGATCCTGAGCACATGGCCTGGTAGACTGGGAATTCACACCAAGGCCAGGCCCAAGGCTAAGGCTGGGCCTGTGGATACCGACTTCTTCCTCACTCCTCTGTATCTCATTTCCTACCCTGCGTCCTCCCAGAGTATATCGGCTGCGCCTCAGGTTCTGTCCTGCATCTTACACAGAGGCATGGAGCAGTGTGTTGCAGAACAGGGAGGCACTGTGTCCTAGCCTGCCCACTGCACACCATCATACTCAAGCTATTTAGTTCGCGGGTGTGTGTGTGTGTGTGTAACATGAAATCTTGCTATGTGGCCAGCATCCTCCTGCCTCAGTAACACCACAAGCATGTGCCACCACGCCCAATCTCTAAATCTTACAACTATCTTATGGGCCGGAGAGTGTTAGCGGGGAAAAGTGAGGCCTGAGATCGATGGGACAGGGAGGCCGAACAGCATGCGGCCCAGCTAGGTCCCGCTTGGCTTGCAGTGGAGCCAAAGGGAGGCCGCTAGCGGAGACACACTGCAGATATTGTCACCCACCGAGTCCCTACAGTTCAGGAACGCGGCCTGGAAAGCAAAGTTGAGAGATAAATTTCTATGACGAAAACTGCGTTGGTGGCGCACGCCTTTAATCCCAGCACTCGGGAGGCAGAGGCGGGAGGATCTCTGTGAGGTCGAGACCAGCCTGGTCTCCAGAGCGAGTGCCAGGATAGACTCCAAAGCTACACAGAGAAACCCTGTCTCGAAAAAACAACAACAACAAAAAGATGGATAGATGATGGGAGTGGATAGGCAGACACAAGATAGATGACGCAAAAAAGAAAAGAAGAAAAGGAAGGAGAGAGAAAAGAAGGAAAGGAAGAGAAGCGCTAGATTCTAAATGGAAACCTTACACCTACCACTCCCAGCATCCCCCGCGCGGGAGGCGCCGTCGTAGGTCCGGAGGAACTTGGAAAACCTTGTGGCTCTGCCTGCTGGGAATCGTAGTCTCTGCGTGGAGAGGTGGGGCTTTTACTTGACTGATCTATAGCCAATAAGAAAGCTGAGATTTTAGAGTGCTAGCATAGGTATCCAATGGACGCCCGGCATCGGGGAGGGCGGGACTTCCGTTAGGGACTCATACTGAGAGCCTGCGCGGAAAGCTACACTTCCTTTTGTGGCTGGCGGCGAACGAGGACGGACTGCCATGAAGGCCTCAGGCACGCTTGGGGAGTACAAGGTGGTGGGGCGCTGCTTGCCCATCCCGAAGTGCCACACACCACCTCTTTATCGGATGCGCATCTTCGCGCCAAACCATGTGGTGGCCAAGTCCCGATTCTGGTATTTTGTGCCAGATCGCATGCACAGCGTCCACTCTGCTGACAGCAGAACTTGGAAGGCTGAGGCAGGAGGGTCGTCGCGAGCTTCAGTATAGAAAAAGATCCGGCTCCCCGAAAGAGAATAAACGAGAGATTTGGCTGTAGCTCGGGAGGGCGAGGCAGGGGGCCCCCACTTTAGCTAATTGGGGCGCTTAGGCGCGCATGGAGGTGGCGTTTGTTGGGCATTTGACAAGCGTCCATTGCGGCCCTTCTGGCTCTGAGATCCCCCAGCCTGGCGGCGCGCACTGGTTATCCCGGTACGGGTCAGGAGTTGAGGCAGCATTCGCTGTTTCCAAATAGGAGGCCGCAGTAGCCTGCCTGGTATCAGATTGTGAAGGACCACAGGAGAATTTTTTTTTTTTTTTTGGTTTTCGAGACAGGGTTTCTCTGTGTAGCTTTGGAGCCTATCCTGGCACTCGCTCTGTAGACCAGGCTGGCCTCGAACTCAGAGATCCACCTGTATCTGCCTTCCGAGTGCTGGGATTAAAGGCGTGCACCACCAACGCCCGGCTGGAGAAAGTTTTTAGAGTGAGTCACAGTGACTCCGTGAGCAGGGGCATTGCTGCAAGCAGTCCTCCGGTGCTTGCTAATGAGAGGCACAGGACTGACCTGGGGTGGGGGACAGACAGGTGCCGTCTTCCTGACAGCTGGTGAAAAGCCAGTCTGGAGTGTTGAGGGAAGACAGTGAGCAGAGTGGCTCTGCGCTGCTTTGTGTATTTAGGAAGAGCCTGTGGGGTGTGACACAGGCAGGCTCCATGACCCTCTGCTTGCTGCCCTCTCTTTCAGCTTCGGGAGTACAAGGTGGTGGGGCGCTGCTTGCCCACCCCGAAGTGCCACACACCACCTCTTTATCGGATGCGCATCTTCGCTCCAAACCATGTGGTGGCCAAGTCGCGATTCTGGTATTTTGTGTCTCAGCTGAAGAAAATGAAGAAGTCATCCGGGGAGATAGTTTATTGCGGACAGGTGAGACTTGAGTCCCCACAGAATAGCAGTCCCTGGGCAACACCAGAGCCAGGGTAGCACACCTCACTGTCCTCCCCACCCACAGGTGTTTGAGAAATCACCGCTTCGTGTGAAGAACTTCGGGATTTGGTTGCGCTATGACTCCAGAAGCGGCACCCACAACATGTACAGGGAGTACCGGGACCTCACCACAGCAGGCGCTGTTACCCAGTGCTGTGAGTCACCCACCCAGCCCTCCTGCACCCAACCCAAGAACTTCCGCTGTCTGTAGCGGCTGTTTAAACAGTGGTGCACACAGCAAAAGGGGCTTTGTCGCCTTTAGGGGGCTGTGTGGTGCCCCCCAGAGTGAATCAGAAGGTTCTACAGTCCTGGGGGCAGGCGCTGAGGGTGGCTGGGGCTGACATCCTTCTCTCTCCCCAGATCGAGACATGGGGGCCCGGCACCGTGCCCGTGCGCACTCAATACACATAATGAAGGTTGAGGAGATCGCAGCCGGCAAGTGCCGAAGGCCAGCTGTGAAACAATTCCATGTGAGTGACCCTGAGTGGGGGCTGACGCAAGCCTGCAGGGGGTGGTTCCACCTGGTTGAGCCCTGGATATTTATTCTCTCCCTCTCCATAGGACTCGAAGATAAAGTTCCCGCTGCCCCACCGTGTGTTGCGGCGCCAACACAAGCCTCGATTCACCACCAAGAGGCCCAATACATTCTTTTAGACCACAGAATAAAGTCCTGCCTGGCTTGTTGTTTCTGTGTCCCTGAAGAGTTCCCATGGGGCCCCTAAACACAGGCTAGCCCTACCTGACAGCCTTAGCTCAGTGGCCATTCTTGGGTCTCTTTGTATAGCTGTGTACTACCACCGTAACTTTATTTCTCATGGAATGTGCAAGTGTGTGAAGCCTTGTGTGTGACATTGAGGTGGCTGTTTTCTGCAGTCTCCAGGGTGCTGGCTCAGGCCTGAGAATTCCAGTCATGAACCTAATCCACTCCCAGGACCTGATTGAGCCCCTTATCCTGCTGGTGGGAATGAGGCCAGCCAGGGACCTGGGCCTCCAGGCTCGAGAGTTATTCTTTTCCCTGATGTCAATGAGTGCTAGAGGATGGGTGGTGTGAAAACTGGCTAGGCAGATGGAGGGGTCATGGGGCTCCTTTTGGTCAGGTGTGGCCAGCACTATATCGGCCTGGGTGGATTCTGAAGGGGGTACAGACTGGAGTGATGGGCACTGGGTGCCCACTCCTCTGGCTCCTGGAGTCCAGATGAGTGGCTGGGTCAAGACTGCTGTCTTGCTGGGTGGTGGTGGTACACATAGAGGGCAGGTGAAAATCAAGACCAGCCTGGCCTGTGTTCCAGGACAGCCTCCAAAGTCACAAACTTGAAGAAGCAGGTTTCCTGCTGACTGAAAAATAGCACCAAATGTATTGCTCTCAGGTGTGGTGTCAAGTTTTAACACCTTGTCCTTATCTTTGGCGGCCAGAAGAGGGCGTCTGGTATGGAGATACGAGGTGTGTAGGTCCTGGGAGTTGCTTCCCCAAAAGCAGCCAATTTTCATGGTCACTGAACTATCTCCCCAACCAAAAAGGTTAGATCTTAGCTCCACTGCCCCCATCTAGCAAGAACTCAGGAGTGTTATGCTTGGCAGGTTCTCTGTCTAAGGCAAGAGCTGGTACCATGGCCAGAGTGCCACTCAAAGCTTTGGACCCTTGAAGAATCCACATAGAGCCACTGCAGCTCTTGCAGAGGACCTGGGTAGGTCCTGAGCACCTAAGTTAGTGATGCACATACCCGCATTCGGGTGCACCTGCCCCTTCACCTAGTTACACATAGGTAATAGGGTTAGTTACTGGTCGCTTGCTCCTGAATGCACTTTGAATGCCTTTAATCCCAGTGCTTGGGAGGCAGAGGCCCACCTGATCCACAAAGCAAGTTCCAGGGCAGCCAGTATTAACACAGCTGCATGCAGAGGGCAGGGGGATCTGAGTTCAAGACCATCTGGGCCAGGCACTCAGGAGCCAGTCAGGCAACTAACTGTCTTGAGTTCCAGGCAGGACTGGTCTATCAGACCAGTCTGGAAAAACTAAAAACTGGCACGACACGGAGCACTGTAAGCCTTGGAGAGCTAAACCAGCTATAGCTCTGATGTTAAAATATCGGGTACAAGACATTGCTGCTCGCTTGGTGTTGCCGCTAGTGGGTCCCCACGAGCCAGTCCAGCACCTCAGCTTCCCTGCCTCTGCAGAACAGCAGTCCTGGTTCGGGGAGGTTCTCCCTTCCCGTTCCTCACTGCTCCCTCCAGTCCCTTGGCTCCAGGATGCCTCATGAAGCTTTACAGAAACCGGAAAACCCTAGGTTCAAAGTCTTCACAGGGCACCTCCCAAACGGCACTCACACCCTCGCCAAGGCCTGGGAGACCACTGTAGCGGATCCGGCAGCATTTTCAGCCCCCACCCCTACCCCAGGTCCCTAGTTGCCATCGGGGCCCTGCTTCGAGATTCTCCTCTGAAGGAGGCAACGCCAGTCCGATCGATGGGGGAGCAGGACCCTTCGAGCTGGTTTGCAGCCTGAGGCAACCAGGGGGCGCGTACCGCAGGCGCTGGGTTGCCCGAAGCCTGAGGGGCTCGACAGGATATCAACCTTGGACACCCCAGATTCCCCACCAATCATCCGGGAAGGGTCCCACGCTGACAGCCCCGGAACCTCTGGCTGCATCGTCCCAAGACCCAAGCCCTTGGTCCACGACCAGCATCTTCTGTTCAGGACTCAATTCTAACGTCAAAGTACCAACAATTGCAAGAATGGGCGCCCAAAGAACGAGCAAATGAGCTTTGCGCTGGCAGGGTGCTCCACACTTGTCATCCCAGCACTAGGAAAGCCAAGGCAGGAGCGCCACAGCTTAGAAGCCAGCCTGTGGGAGGGGAGGGAGCAAGGAAGGGGAGGAGGACCATGCCAGGGCACACTCCTGTCATCAAAGCTTGGACTCCATGCCTGAGCTGTAGGAGGCCGTGCCTCAAACAGGCGCATACACGGGAGTGTGTGTGTGTGTGGTTGAGACAGATCCAGATCCAGACTGTCTTTTGGAGAAGCTGAGTCCTAGACCAGAAGGTATAAATTCTCCAAGACCTCACTTGGAAGCCCCGAACGCCTCCCACCGGGATTGGCTGGAGGGACAGAAGTCTGTCCCACTGCGAAGAGACGCATATGCCCGCTGGGAGCGACTCGGTCGCCCGCGTTCCTGTCTGAGCCCAGAAGCCCCCGCGAAAGGGAACCCCAGTGTGCGGCTCCTCCTAGCTCCGGGTACCAAAGCGCGGCAGGCTGTGCGAGCGCCGGTCGGAGCCTCCATTGACTTGCCTGTCTGGCCCTGGATGTGGGAGAAAGTGCCAGGAGACGAGAGCATCACGGAGGAGCTCCCCCAGCCCGCCCCCGCTGCCCGCACCCCTGCAGGCCAGCTTGCCCCAGGGAGGAAAGGGGGCGGGGCGCCTCCGCCTCCCAGGCTGGGGGCGGAGCCGCGCTGACCCTGGAGCCCAATAAATCCGCGGCGCGCAGAGCGAGGGGACCGACGGCACAGCGGGGATCCAGGGTCCCCGAGTCTCCGCATCCTTCCCAACCGGGTCACCTGTCCCCATGGAGGGCGCGCAGGCCGCGGCGAGGGCCACCTTCGGGCCCTGGGACTACGGCGTGTTCGCAGTCATGCTGCTGGTGTCCACGGGCATCGGGCTGGGGGTCGGCCTGGCCCGCGGCGGCCAGCGCAGCGCCGAGGACTTCTTCACCGGGGGCCGGCAGCTGGCAGCCGTGCCCGTGGGGCTGTCGCTGGCCGCCAGCTTCATGTCGGCAGTGCAGGTGCTCGGGGTCCCCGCCGAGGCGGCGCGCTACGGCCTCAAGTTCCTGTGGATGTGCGCGGGCCAGCTGCTCAACTCGCTGCTCACCGCCGCGCTCTTCTTGCCGGTTTTCTACCGCCTGGGCCTCACCAGCACCTACCAGGTAGGGCACCCGGTCCCGCGGGAAGGTTCCGGGAAGATGCCGCGGGCGTCGGGCAGGGCCAGGAAGAAGGAAGAGGGCGTCGGGTCCCACAGCTCGAAGCAGCCTCGAGCGGTGGCTGCCCGCTGACGCTTGTCCCCACGTGAGCCCGAACCGGGCCGCCCACCCGCGCCTGCAAACGCTTCAAACGCCTGCAGCGAGGCGCAAGGTCCCGCAGGGTTTCCCAGCTGTTCAACGCGTGGTGAAAATCCGGATGGCGCCGGCCTGTATTCTCAGCATTGTGCAGGCTGAGGCAGGAGGATTGCCATGAGTTCCAGGCCAGCCCGGACTCACCAGGGAAACCCCAGTCTCAAATGTGCGGGCGCAGCTAGGCACCTTGCAACCGTCCAGCAAGGGTAGTGACAATCTGAAGGCTTATGCCTGATCGATATCTCAGTGCTAGAGAACCTCGGGAGCAGGACTGCCTCGAGTCCCAATCAATTTGGTCTACACAGACAGACCCCGACTCAAAAGGACTCCATAAGCGCAGCTGGGCACCCGGGAGAGAGCGAGAACAGTGAGGGTGGGTGAGGGGTCGTCTGCCGGGTGACCTCCAACCCTGGCTCCCTCCGCAGTACCTAGAGCTTCGTTTCAGCCGCGCGGTGCGGCTCTGCGGGACGCTGCAGTACCTAGTGGCCACGGTGAGCCAGCCGCCCGCCCGGCCCAACCTGATCTCACCCACGCCCCATCCTACCTGGCCCCGCCCCTGCCCAGCGTGAGCTCTGCTTTCATGGGACCTGACGGGACCACACCCACAACTCGGCCCTCCTCCTGCCTGGAGACACCCTCCTGCCCTGCTCTCTTTTAACCCGGTTCCGCCCCTCCTCCCTGGCCCCGCCCTGTTTCCCGCTCCCTGACTGACAGTCCTCCCCACCCGCAGATGCTATACACAGGCATCGTGATCTATGCGCCCGCGCTCATCCTGAACCAAGGTCTGACTGGTGGGCGGGGAGGGACCGGGAGATCAGGAGCCCAGGCTGGACCTCGCGTTAGCAGGAAGAAAGCTGGAGGCCTGACAGGAGGTGTGTTTTGCAGTGACCGGGTTGGACATCTGGGCTTCGCTCCTGTCCACGGGAGTCATCTGCACCTTGTACACGACGGTGGTGAGTGGGCTGTGGCTGCCGCATGGTCTTATGGGCGACCCCAGGCGGGCAGCACCATCCTAACTCCCCTCTCCCGAGCTAGCCCCTGCCTAAACTGGGCTCCCACGGTCTTTCCTACCTAAGGACTGAGAGGTTATTGTGCAGGCGCATCGGCTGAGGCTGGATCTAGCAGCCCTGAGGGGCTTTGCCTTGCCCTGGGTTCCCTGGTCCCTGAGCTGTGGCCTCTGCCTTTCCAGAGTGAGCTGGTTTCAGCTGGAGCTGGCTGAGAGTCTGGCCTGCTCTTCTCTGGGTCCCATGTCTTGGCTGTGCCACCTGAGGGGCTGGCGTGGGAGGCTGGACTTCCAGTGAATGCGGGAGAAGGCAGGGGAATGACAGTGTGGGAAATAGATGTAGCTGCTGTTGGGGTCACAGCGGCTCTGGGGAGGCTGAGGCTGGAGACTTGTAAGTTCTAAGCCAGCCTGGGCTACAAAAGCCTTAAAAACAGGGTAATTTTAATAGGTTTTGGACTATTTGCTGGGGCGTCCAGTGCAATAGCATCTTTTTCACCCCTTATTTTGATTAACCCTCCAACCAACCACAGGAAGGTACAATATCCTTATTTTACACGTGGGGAAACTCAAGAGGAGCCTTGCCTTGGTTCCCTGAACCACAGGAAGCCAGGCAGGGTGGAGTCTAAAGCCTCTTCCCGGCTCAGTCCTGTCCCAGCAGCTCTGGACAGGCCTGTGACCCGTGTTCCCTTTCACGCGCAGGGCGGTATGAAGGCGGTGGTCTGGACAGATGTGTTCCAGGTGGTGGTGATGCTCAGCGGCTTCTGGGTGATCCTGGCCCGCGGCACCGTGCTCATGGGGGGCCCCTGGAACGTGCTCAGTCTTGCCCGGAACCATTCTAGGATCAACCTGATGGAGTGAGAGAGAGGGCTGCATTCTGTAGCCCAGGCTAGCCTCACATCTATGCTTCAGCCTCCCCAGCACTGGGATGATGGGAAGATAGTTTTTGAATTGTCCCTTCCCCCCTCCCAAAAGGTGTCTCAGAGGGAAACAAAACTCAACATAGAAACTCCTACTGGTCAGGCGGTGGTGGCGCACGCCTTTAATCTCGGCACTCAGGAGGCAGAGGCAGGCGGATCTCTGAGTTTGAGACCAGCCTGGTCTACAGAGCCAGTTCCAGGAAGCCTCCAAAACTACAGAGAAACCCTGTCTCAATAAACAAAAACAAAACAACCCCCCCAAAAGAAAACTCCTATTCACACTTCAAAACTCACTGCAAATGTCCCCTTAGGATCTAGAATAGCCACGGGTGACCTGGAGAGTGGGACATCTTCACATGGTCACTAACCTGCCTCATTCCCTACTCAGCTTTGACCCTGATCCTCGAAGCCGCTACACCTTCTGGACTTTCGTGGTGGGCGGCACGCTGGTGTGGCTCTCCATGTACGGTGTGAACCAAGCCCAGGTACAGCGCTACGTGGCCTGCCGGACGGAGAGCAGAGCCAAGCTGTGAGTATGCGGGTGAGGGACCCACGCAGAGGTTTCTGGGAAGGCCCTCCCCACACATTCCTAAGGCCACCCCATCCCCTCAGGGCCCTGCTTGTCAACCAGCTGGGCCTCTTTCTGATCGTGGTCAGCGCTGCTTGCTGTGGCATCGTCATGTTCGTCTTCTACAGAGACTGTGACCCCCTCCTCACCGAGCGCATCTCAGCCCCAGACCAGGTGAGCTCACACGTCAAACCCGGAGTCCTCCCTTTCCACCCTTCCCCATCTAGGGGGTGGGTGGGGCTGGAAAAGCACTCCTTCTAGAGGGCACAGTCTGCGGACATCTTGAGATAAGATCTCAGAGAAGGGCCTGGGGGGAAAGGGAGGTGAGCAAGGGGCAATAGGGAGCCATGGTGGGTGTGTGATCAAGCAAGAGGAGCATGCCAACTAAGAGTCACAAAGATGCCTGCCCAGTACACCAAAAGCAAAAAGAGAAGCCACCCACCCGTGTCCCATGTGTCACAGCCAGCCGCCTCTGTCTCCCCACAGTACATGCCGCTGCTCGTGTTGGACATTTTTGAGGACCTGCCTGGAGTCCCTGGGCTCTTCCTGGCCTGTGCCTACAGTGGCACCCTCAGGTGACCGTCCTGCTCACCCCTCGGCTGTGACTCAGTCTCTGGGGGCTCTGATCCATACTGACCGGCCATCTCCTGGAGGATGCTAAGTTCTGACCCTGTCCATCAATTATGGAGGAGGTGCCTAGGCAGGAGCTGCAGCAGGACCGTGTCTAATGACCGGGCTGAGGCAGCTGTGCTGTGCCCTGAGGCTCTGCCCTTCCTTGTGTGTCCACCGGCAGCACTGCATCCACCAGCATCAATGCCATGGCAGCCGTCACTGTGGAAGACCTCATCAAGCCACGGATGCCTAGCCTGGCACCTCGGAAGCTCGTTCTCATCTCTAAAGGGCTCTGTGAGTTTGGGGGCCCAGGGTGTGGGCCCAGGGTGGTACGCCACACTAATTGCGATACCCTTCTGTGCAGCCCTCATCTACGGCTCAGCCTGCCTCACGGTGGCTGCTCTGTCCTCCATGCTGGGAGGTGGTGTCCTCCAGGTGAGACCCCAGCCCCACCTGCCCCGCACCCCCCAACAGGAGTCCTAGCCAAGGCTCAGGGAGATGCCCAGGCCGCGGAGGACACTGGAGGGGCAGGGCTTGGCGGGGTGAGCACCTGTCATTCCAGAGGCTGATGCAGGACGATGAGTTCAAGGCTAGCCTTAGCTACATAGAGAGGTCGAGGGCATACCTGAGACCCATCACTGTGGTTGTCTACCAACCTTCGTTGAGAAAGAGGATTGGGGAAACGGGTACAGAGTAGTCTCTAGGCCTGCAGTGGGACTCCATAGTGTAAACTGAGTCCCGAGAGACGGTGACTAAGCCCAGCCCTTCTTCACCTGCCTCCCAGGGCTCCTTCACGGTAATGGGCGTCATCAGTGGACCTCTGCTAGGTGCCTTCACGCTGGGGATGTTGCTCCCAGCCTGCAACACGCCTGTGAGTGGGGAGGGTGTGGGCCTGGTCTGAGGGGCGTGGCCAATAAGAACCGCCCCTCACAGTGGCCTTGCCCCCAGGGCGTCCTATCTGGGCTGGCTGCAGGCTTGATTGTATCCCTGTGGGTGGCCGTGGGGGCCACACTGTATCCGCCCGGAGAGCAGATCATGGGAGTGCTGCCCACCTCAGCAGCCAGCTGCACCAATGCCTCGGTCCTCATGGGCCCACCCGGAGCTGCCAACGCCTCCAGCAGGGTCCCCAGGTGAGCAGCCCAGGTTGGGGTCTAGGGTGTGATGTCAGGGTGTCAACTGGAAGGGACTGGCTTCCTGGGACAAAAACAGTCTGTGCAAAGGCCCTGGGACCAGGTTCAGGTTCTAGAGGCTACAGGGATGTGAGCTGGGCTTAACAGGAGGGATCAAAGGCAAAGGAATTGGCTGGCTTTTGACTTTTTGTATTTAGTAGTTTTCAACAGAGTCTCATGTGGTCCCAGAACTCTCTAAGTAGTCAAAGATAACAAAGAACAAATCCCTAATCCTCTTGCCTCATGCTGGAGACTAGGATGGTTGGGGCACTAGGATGTGCCCCAACATATCTGGCTACTTTTTCTTTCTTTTTTTAATGATTTTTTGGGGGGTGTAATTAACACCCTAAAGAACTAGCCATAAAAACTCAGGTTTAACTGTCTAAAGATGGAAGCAGCGGGAAGATCACAGGTCATCCTGAGCTACTAGTTAGTTTGAAGACAATTTGGGCTACATTAATAAATTAACATTTTTAATTCTCCCAGCTTCTTGGAGGATAAATGTTTTGCGTCTCTGGATTTATCTCTTCAGGGCTTTCATATAAATAAATCTTAGAAAATGTGGGATTTTATGTCTCCAGTTGTTTTGAAAGTGAGTGAAGCATCCTCCCTTTTCACGGCTGAGTAATATTCCATTGAATGAATATACCACAAGTGTGTAACTGCTGAACAGTTAATGGACATGTGGGTGGTGTCCCAGTTGGGGCTGTTGTGAACAGAATTTCAATAAACCATTGTGTGCAAAACCAAATGTGCATAGGCTTCTCCTCCCAGCACTCAGGAGGCTGTGACTTCAAGTCCTTCTTGGACAACTTAGCTAGGCCTTGTGTCAAAAGGAGGTCTGGGCTGGGATATAGCTCAGTGGCTGAGCACTTTTCCTTCTAGAAAAGTAAGAAGAGAAAATGTTCCCTGCCCATCTGAACCCTTCCAAACTTGGTCAGGTCCCATTGACGTTTTTCTGTGAGCACCTCTGCTTAAGAGGTCTATGGAGGTTGACCAGAAGGTTTTGTTTTGTTTTGTTGTTTTTTGTTTTTTTCTAAGCATTCAGTTTCATTTAATTCCAAGACCAATGGGCAGCCATGGTGGGTGGGGAGACCCAGCTCCTACCCAGGTCTGAGCTGACACAGTGGACAGTGGTGGACAGTGGTGGACTGGGTGCTGCGGGCAGACAGCATCTTGTGCCCCTTCTCCCACCCTAGCTCCGGAACGGAGGCAGGCCGCCCCGCCCTCGCGGACACCTTCTATGCTATCTCCTATCTCTACTATGGGGCTCTTGGCACGCTGACCACCCTGCTGTGTGGTGCCCTTATCAGCTATCTGACAGGTAAGTGCGGTGGCTTCCCTCAGGGGCCGCTCATCCTCCTGACTCCACCCCTACTCCCCGAATGGAGATCTGGAAGGGCTCCCCATCTGCAGTGAGCTGGCCCCCCTAGGCTGCTGTGGGAACTTGGGCAGGTTCCTCCAGGAGAGTCCGGGCTAGGGCCCTGGGGGTGAGGGGCGCTGTCCGCGGTCCTGAAGCCATATCTCGGCGTGGGGAGGTTCGTGGGCCCCACAGAATTCTTTTGCTTGGGTTTGAGATGGGGGAGGGATCTCATCTGTAGCTCAGGCTGACCCTCACACGTGACAATCTCTTGCCTCAGCTTCCTGAGTGCTTGGATGGCATGTGTGCATCACCGCACTCAACCCATGCTATATATCTCTTAATTCATATTTTCCTTTTGAGACAGGGTCTCAAATTCCTTATGTACCTGAGGCTGGCCTTGATCTTAGGATCCTTATGAGAGCATGCACGGCCGTACCTGATATATGTGTTCTGGGGATGGAAGCTCGGGGTTGCTTGGTGCACCACAAGCAAGCACTCTACCTCTGAGCTTCCAGCCCATTGCTAGCCGGCCACAGCGCCAGCCTGGGTTGCGCCTCTGATAGAGCAAGTTGGCGCCCTCAGAGTTTTGCTGAACTTCCAGACACTAGGGTTGAAACTGTGAATGAACAGAAGGTTGGACACTCTCAGCCTGCTGAGCGATAGTGTCCAACTGTGATGCCAACACTCCAGAGGCAGAGGCAGGAGGATTGCCATGAGTTCCAAAACAAAATGGAGACCCTGTCTCAAAAGAGAAAAATAACATAAAACTAAAGTAAACCTGACTCCCCACCAGTGAGTCCCTGTCCTCTCGCCCCTCAGGCCCCACCAAGCGCAGTTCCCTGGGCCCTGGACTGCTGTGGTGGGACCTCGCTCGGCAGACCGCATCTGTGGCCCCGAAGGAGGACGCAGCCACCCTGGTGGAGGACAGCCTGGTGAAGGTCAGACCCAGCTTGGGTCACTGGGCTCCAGGGCCGTGGGGACCCAGCGGGTGCAGCCCCAGGGGCTGGGCAGATTCCTCTCCGCTGTTAAAGCTGCCCCTTTCCCAGGGGTTGACACACATGAGCACTGTCTATTTTTATCGTGTCTGTTTTTTTAAAGAATTATTTCCTGCCTGTGGCGGGGAAAACTGGTTTCCCCTCGAGAGAGAGACACTGCTGAAGAAGATTCTTAAGATAACATTAGTTAATTCAGAATTACGTAAGAAACAGGGGGAGCTGGCTGGAGCCGAGCCAGGGAACTGCAGAGCCAGTGCCCCAAAAGTGGGAGACACTGTCACCTCCTGAGAGACCAGAGTGACACAGGTGACACCAGACAGGAATGTGGAGCGGGAGGACAGCCTGAGCTACGCAGCAGGCTTGAAACCTGCTGGGCCCATGAGAGACTTTTGTTTGTTTTGCTTTGTTTGTTTTTCGAGACAGGGTTTCTCTGTGTAGCTTTGGAGGCTATCCTGGCACTCGCTCTGTAAACCAGGCTGGCCTCGAACTCTGCCTGCCTCTGCCTCCCGAGTGCTGGGATTAAAGGCATGCGCCCGGCCGGCCTGTTTTAAGTGAGGAGGCAGCTGCTTGGAGAGGCTCTGGTCCCTGCC